TTTGTTTTATTTTTGAATTTTCAAAATCTTTTAGAACCAGACCTTTCACACTTGGTATATATATATATATATTTTTTTTCTTCTGTCATACAATGAACTTGCTGTAAATTCCTCAGTCTGAAATGAAGGGAGAGGTAGGAAAGTAGGAGCTCTTGATATAATCATGCGCAACACAACAGGCAAGTTTTCTAAAGGCAAACTGCTTTTGTTTGCTTTGTTTTGTTTTTCTTGTTCTTTTTGTTTGTTTAATATTTTGGAGAAAGGTCTTGCTAGGTTGCCCCAGCTGGTTTAAACTCTGTCCTCCCAGCTGAGCCTCCCGAGCAGCTGGGGTTATGGGCGTGTACCATCACGCCCAGTTTCTAAAGGGAAACTTGGTGTTTGGCCATGTATTCTTTCACCCACGACACATAACTTCAGACAACAATATTTGATTTTGATTATTAGATGATTATTTTAGTCAACTTGTGATTGGTTGACAAAAGAGTTGAAATGCAATGATCAAATTTACCAAAACCTATCCCATAATCATCCCATAATCACAGATCTATATAGGTTACTATTCAGTTGATCTGAAATTATGATGAACCAGGGCACTTTATGTATCATTAAGCCATAATTTCTCTGTGCTCATTTTTGTGTGTAATTTATTTTGTACGAGAAGAGTCCTCAGTGCTACCGCAAAAGTAATGTATTGGCATGATGTCATGCCGCAATTTATGTATATTAATATTGTTAGCATCATAATAAACATTTATATTGGGGGTTATTCCTTAGGAGCACGTGTATCTTTCAGTGTATAAAAATACCACAAGAAACATCAAAAAGTTATCTGGTTATTTTCTAAGATTATTAATTATAAAGTTAAAAACAAACCTGGTAAAATTCATTCCACTTTTTCATTGCTTCTGGAAAGGATGCATGACAGCTGGAGACATCAGAACAAAATTTGTTCTGATCCTTCGGTGGTGGCAGAAAGATGATGTCGTCTGGTGATATGCCGAAGATCCCTGCCTCAGCCGCAGCAAGGAAGGGTATCATGGACAGAAAGTAATTTACGTCTGCATAAGCAGAAAGTTATTGTAGTATTGCTAGTAGATAAAAGTAGCAGTTCTTAAGTAAAAAAATAAAAAAATTATAATAAAAACAAATCCCCTAGGTTAGAAACAGGTTGTAAAACTCGAGTAGTAATTCGGAACACTTTGGAAATTTTATCAAAATTTCATTAAGGACCCTATGCAACTCCAGTGTGCTGCTTAAAAACTCTACTCTCATAAAACAAAATAGACCTATGTTGTCAATACACTATTTAAAATTATAAATAATAATAATTACTAGCCTCTAAATACTAACTTCATTCCAAAGCAGACAAAATAATTTAGTAACCTTACAGAATGTTACACTCTCCTTTATCCAGATGTTTATTCTAAATGTGAAAGTCTCATATTTCTTTAAAATACAGGACTGTATAGGCGCTTTATTAAAAAGTTTTGTTTTACAACATAACATAAATTTCTCCTGCTGTCGTTTGTTTTTAGAGTAACTTTTTAAGCCCATGTTTGCAGTACATAACGATGGTGTTCACCGTGGGGAGTTGGTACGTGCACATAACACATTTTAATTCTTTGTACTTCCCTTTCCCCTCTCCACTCCCTCCATCGCTTGCTCCCTATCCGATTTGTGAAAGATCTTTTCCCTTATTTCCTAGCATACATCCTTCATTTAGAGCATCTCTTCCGGTTCCTAGTTTCCATCAGTTGATATTTCCATAATTGGACACAATGAGTAGTAAATGCTGAAAACATCTAAAAACTCGTTTCAGAACTTTCAGATTTAAGCCCAACAGAGTTGTTTTGGAAAAACAGTAAGTCTGGTTTTGGTTTTGGCATCTGTAACGGGGATTTCAGAGTGCACTGCTCCTTGGTGGGGCGGCTCTCCATGCAAGGTCCGAGGTCCGAGACAGGGAACCCACCTGCCCACCAGCTGTCCACAGACAGGCACAGGTGCTCCTCCGACTGGTAGCCACAGCCCGTCCTGTGGGTAGGGTCAGCTAACAGGCCTGGGGAGACAGGAGGCAGAGTTGGATTTATTAGCCCCGTTTCTGCATATACAAAAAACAACCAGATCCAGTTATATTTGGGGGAGAATGTCCCAAATATTTATTTTGGTACTGTATTACAAGAAGATGCACATGCAAAGTGTCCTCGGCAGTGAACTCGTCCCTGCTTCTTAAATATTAGTCCTTATTCTATTTCATCTCCCTTTCTTTTCAAAACCTTCCCTGGCCTCTTCCTCACAAAGCTTCCCTTTCTGGCTCTTTTTCCATCTGATGTTATCTGTTGTATCTTCTGAACATACTCCCTGCGTATTTCTTCAGCTATCTTTTGAATCAATGCCCACTTCTTGTCCAGTTTGAGCCATTCTCACAGGTGGCTCATTCTCTCCAGCATCGCCCACCTTCTCTTTCTCGAGATTCCCCCGAACAGTGTTTTGAACCTGTTTTTATTCCTCCAGGCTTTCTCTTACCCACTCATCTTTTGGATATATCCCCTTACTTTCTCGAAATAACTCTGTAGCTTCAGTATTCGGGTCTTCTTCTTTCCCATTTTTCCACCCACCTTGTCATCATGCTTCCCACCATTTTACCTGTCTGCTTCTCAGGAACTTATTTTGGTTCCTCTCCACTTTCTCATCCTAGGTTCTCTTTTGGCCCTTCTGGACCTACTTTATTCTCAAGTAATTCAGAGAACGATTTTGATAGTTATGCTGATAATTCTCAAAATCATCATTCTTTCTTTAAAATATTATTCAATGATGTGAAACATGCCTTTCTTAGTTCTTTGTTCTAGGTTTGGTCTTGTGTTGCAAGGTTATTTTTGTTGCGTTTTGATGGAACTTGCTTATTCTGTATCAACTCCCAGGAATTTCTTTCCAGTTCCAAGATTTTTCCAACTAAAATTTATGCTGAACAATAGCACTGAAATACTGACATATGATTCAGGATGGACTCATGTCAACATATACAAGACAACTGAAATAAACCAGATAAAAACAATGCATGGCTTTTTATGTGAAAATTACAGTGTTATGGCTTATATCTAGATGTCCCCCTAATGCCTCATGTGCTCATAGATGGGGCTTTTGGGAGGTGCCTGGATCATGGATCACTGGTGTGTGATACTGGACATAGGTGTGTGAGACTGGGTTAGTCCACTGATGGGTTCAGAGCTAGATGTGATGTTGGAAGGTGAAGCCAGGTGGGTCACTGTGGATGTGACTTGGAATGTTATATATCCCTCCTTCTGCCTTGGTCTTTGCCCTGCTCTCTGTCTGCCATGCCATGGACTGTTTCTCCTCTGTGATGTCCCTCTGCCAGGCCTCTCTGCCTTGGAACCAGCTGACTATGGACTGAAACCTCTACAAACTGAGCCAAAATAGACTTTTCCTCCTTTAACTTGTTAGTGTTGGATATTTTGTCTCAGCAAAGAGAAAGTAACTAAGACATCTAGATAATGGAATTTTGACTCCCTCTCTCTTTTTTTTTTTCTAGTACTGGGGGTTTAACCCAGAGCCTTCACAGTGATCTACATCCTTAGTCCGCCTCTTCCTACCCTTTCTCTTTTTTCTTCTGAGACAGTGTCCTAAATTGCTAAGTTGTCACCTGTCAGATTGGGTGACCTGTCAGACTGGGCTCAAATTTGTGATCCACCTGGCTCAGCCTCACAGAGTGCTGGGATTACAGCTATGAGCTGTCACACCAGGATTTGAATCTGCTTTTAGATTCTATCCTTTTGAGCCTATTCACTTTCTGAGAATGTTTGCCTATTGTGACAATTTAAGGACTCCCTTCTGTTGCTGTTTTCATATTCTGTGCCCTAAATCCTTACTGCTCCCACTTCCACATCTTTCCAGTGCCCTCGAAGTCCTGCACTGGTAATTCCGAGTCACCTCCAGCTGAGCCTTCCTGAAACTGAGCTCCTGAGCTTGAGAGCCAAGCAAGAATGTTTTGTAAACTGTTTTTTGCTCTTTTCTATTTGTTTTTCTCTTCAAGGTTTGCTTCTTGACATCTTAAGCAATTTTCCCTTCTTTATAATCAACAACTGACCATTTTATAGCCACTATCTGACCATTTAGTATTGTTGCACTCTTGGAAAATTTTTTTCTTGCCTTCTCATGGAAAGAAATACATTGTTCTCAATGAACTTGACCAAAAATTGCTTTTTTTCCCTTATCAGTTTTCAAGAACAAAGTTAATGCAATCTTTACTGTAAGTCAAACCAAAATTCCTGCCCTGAATTTATTCTGTTACCACCTATAGTATATCTCTAGCTTAAGTTTTGCAGCTTTCTTACAATATTTTCTTCATTCTCCCTTTTTGTTTCTGACTTGTACGACCCATTCCAAATTCTTTCCCTTAGCTCATTCCGTCTTTATGTGTTACTTTAATTTCAACCCATCAAAATTTCTAAGGTTTTAAAAGATATACTTCCAATCTATTCTATTCCAAGATTTTTCTAACTCACAGTATTTTCACATTGATCCAGAATCTTAAGGTTCAGAGATTTTATCGTCCTCTCCTTATTGTAGTTGCTTTCTTTTTTTTCTAACTTTCCTTCTTAAATATCTAAGCCTTTTGAGGGAGGACATGAACTTTACCTCAATTAACCCTTTTTCTCTTTGTCTCAGATTTCCAATATTTTCATCCTAGTTAGAACATTTTTCCAATTAAAATTTCTGCTGAACAAAAAAGTTGAATGAACTATTAACATATGAAAATAAAAATTAACAAAATACTAACCTATGACTTATACACACTCCTGTAATTATATGGGTACTTATAATAATGTTAAAATTAAGATGGATGAACTAAAAATGTTCATGACAATTGAAATAAATCAGTCAAAGAGAGTACATAGCCATTCCCATGAAAATTCTGCATAATGCAGACTAATGTGCAGTGAGAGGGAATGGATTTGTGGCTCCCTGTGAAAGTGGGAAGTACGGTAATGTGGAGGGCAGCAGTAGAAGGAGTACAGTGAGGGAAGCAGACATGGGTGATAGGAAAATTCCCGAAGACAGTGATACAAGAGAGGATTTTTAAAAAATCATCATGTAGTCTAGTCATTGTCTGTGGTGACAGATTCAGTGCTATATACATATATCAAAACTTATTGAGTAGTAAGTTTAAAATGTATAGTTTATTATATATTATACCTCTAGAAAGGGAGAAAACGCAACTAAGCAAGCACAAAGCAACCATGCAAAGTCCTTAAGTACTGTGCAAGTGTGAAGCCCTTATTGCTGAAGGGCCCAATCCAAACCACCCGGGCTCACTTTGAAGATACCTCTCAAATTGGCCCTAATTGATTTTCTCTATCACCACCCAGCAGTCTCACACATTCCTAACCTGCCAATGGTGTGGTCTTGTTCCCAATCCAGCCAATCACCTTTACTGTTTTTGTAATATGCAACACATCAGTGAATGTCGTCAACATTAGCTATTTGTGATTACTTAAATTTAAATGAATTGAAATGAAATAAAATTAATAATTCAATTCTGCACAAGTATTAACCATCTCAGGTGCTCGAGAGCCCATATATGAATGTGTGCGCATAGTATTGCTCCTGTTCTACAATGAAAATACAGAAAATTTCATTATACATAATTCTACTTCACAGTGCTTGTGGAAAATCAGTGTATGCAGGAGATTCCATCGATGCTTGATAAGGGAAATCTAGTTAAGAATAAGATGAAAATAAAAGAGAAAGCCGGATAAATATGCAGAAAGGAAACAGGAAGTAGAAAGAAGAGAAAAGTAATCAATTTTCAAAAAGGTGGTGTATGCTCAAGGTACTACTTCCTAAAAATTTATGGTTATATCAAAATGTCATTGTAAGGCCGAGGATTTAGCTCAGTGGTTTGGCCACCTGCCTCACAAATGCAAGGTCCTGAGTTCGATCCCCAGTACAAAAAAAAAAAGTCATTGCAATGAAAAAAAAGTGGTCCTTACCTGTATGATATTGCTATCCATGGTGTACAGGCAACCCCCACAGAAGATTTTGTTCATTATCTGGAGCAAACTTTTCAAAATATTTGGCTGTCTGGTTCAATACTATTTTATACATTCCCAATCTCTGAGAATAATTCCAGATGTTAATGATGTACTTTTCATTCTCTACTTCATAGTCACTGAACTGACCAGGGCTCTCCTCCCACAGCGGGGGATACTTACCAGAAATTTTGGAAGATGCTGCTAAAGATGCAGAAATACAGCCAAGCAGTAGACAAGCATGTGAAGAACTGAAGGCCATGGTGCATGAGATAGACTGTGATCACAAGGAGATTTTCTTAGGAACCAATGAAGTAATGCATGTTATTCATGTTACTCAATACACGAATTCTCTTACTCACCAATGATGAGTGGGTATAAGAATGCCACACCAAAGATGACAGAGTATGTACATCCTTTGCTGATTGTTTCCCTCATAAATAATGCAGTCAGACTGGCTTTCTTTCAGATTTATTTGTCTGTCTTCTGTTAGTCTGTCTCTTATATTAACTTTAACAAATTGCATTTCTTTTTGCTATGCTACTTTTATTTTAAAGGGAAATGATTGTTGATCTGAATTAATGTTTGATTGGTGGGATTTTAAAAACAAAATGATAACGGAAGAAATTCTAAATAGAATTTGGAAGACATTTGGGGGTTCAGATCTCTTCTAAATTTCAGTTCACATGCGAGCTTAGATCTGTATGTGAGACTTGTTTACCCAAATTCCACATTAGCAGAGTTTGAGCTGAAGACTTTTGTATTTCTATTCGGCTATTTGGGGTTAGAAAATAAAAGAAAAGGAAAGATAAAGGAAAGGAGAAAAAAGTAATCCAAGAAGAGATAAAGGTATAGTTGCTTAATGTTACGTAGGACTAATGAGGAACATAGTGAGAGGCGCCTCAGAACCACCAGACTCAAGGAGTGGAAGAAAGCAGAATCTACCTATGTCCTTCCACTGGTCAAAGATGGCCCAACAGGTAGACATTTCTTTTGCTAATCTGATTACCCAAGCCTGTGTGTTAAGTGGATACTTGCAGGTGCCTGAGGAAGCAACAGGGTTAAAATCACAGTAGTAGATGAGATGATACAGAAAGACAAAGTCAGGCTGTCATGTCCTACCAATAAGAAGTAGGTCAAAGTCTGGGTGGAACTGGGCAAGGTGGCAGTGGCCACGGTCAGAAGAGGAGGTGAATTCAAGACTGATGCACAGGAAACAGTGGATTCCAAGTCCCCACACCGTGAATTGTGAGCTCATTAGGACCTGGCTGGCCATGAGCTCCCACAAACCCAATACTGTTCTTCCCTGTAGGAATGTGCTGCTTATTTATTCTCATCACAGTGAGTTGCCCACAGCTGCTTTCTTGCAAAAATACAGATATTTACTGAGAAGTACTTCATTTCCGGAGCTATATCAGCCCTAGCTTTCAGTGGCAAACAAGATAAAAAGAGTCTTTGAAATGTTGCACCAAGTATTATTTAGGAAAGTAAATACTGATGAAAGAAAGTAATCTCATGTGTGAGAGATGAACTTTACCTTTAATTTGATTTCTTAAATTAACATTTTATTATTATACAAGAGAACTAATAAATAAGGAATGTTAGGAAGCTGCAGACAAAGACTACCTCAGTGTGAGGAACCCTGGCAGTGGGGAAAGGTTTATACTTAATCCATTTGGTGAGGAAATGTTTATAATCTCAATATTTTATTGATATTATTTTATTCTTTTAGAAAATATTGACATTACTGGTCATCAGAGCTCAGGTTGTCTTTTAAACAATTTCTCGCCTAATTCATCTAATACAATAAAAGGTATAATTATTCATTACTTTGGAAAGAAAATCATTCCTTCCTGCTTTCCTTAACTCTCCATTTAGTGAGCACCAACTAAGTGCAGTATGCTGCAGGAATTGAAAATGAAAAATAAGGTTTACTTAAAAGAATCAAACAATATGCTTGGGAAAAATTTTAAAGAAAATTACAAATACTTATAGAAGAACAAAGTGATATCAGCACGTTTCAGATAGCAGAGAAGGGGGCATTGCACAAAGGAAAGACACAAGGTGGAATTCCTTACTTACTGTGCACACAAGTGGCTTATCTTGTCAGGCAGCTCACATAGCCCTGGAGCCAGGTATCAGGCTGCAGATGGAAATAGGTATGTGGGAGTTGATGGAGGAGTATGGATAGAGTAAGGGAGTTCTTTCTGTGCACGCAGGTGAGCAGGAGGGCCAAGCTGTAGCTTAGTCAGACAATGTTTCCAATTTCTCTTCTTCCACAGTCTTCCATGACCCAGGATCTTAGCATATTGCCTTGCATACTGCAGACCTGCATTGGAGGTACTTGGTTGCATTTGTCCTTAGCAAGTATGTTAACTTTCTCTCAGTGTAAAGAATAACTGAGAACAAAAACTTAAAGGGTGAAAGGTTTATTTTGGTTCAAAATTTCAAAGGTTTCAGGTCATGGTCAGCTGGATCTATTGCTGGAAAGGTAGAATTATCATGATAGAAGGGCAGGGAGAAAGAGAGAGAGGGGGAGAGAGAGAGAGAGAGAGAGAGAGGAGCTCAGGATAAGGTACAGTCCCTAAGAGCATACCCTTGTGATCCACTCTCTTCATTAGGCCCCACCTTTCAAGTTTCCATCAAAACACATATCTACCAATGGATTAATCCATGGATGAGGTGATGAGGTTAGAGGTGATCCATCACCTTTCAAGAGTCCATGGCTCCGACAGGTGAGTCTTGGAAGATGCATCGCATCCAACTCATAATAGGAAATTAAAAGGTGGTATCAGTAAAATGAAGTTAAAACCAACCTAGTACCTCTTAATTTTCAGATCTGAGTTAAATGCTCTGTGCATAATGGTTACATTCAAATTTCTAAAAATTTATCTTTATATTTATTAGTTTTCCTTACTGCATATTAATTTGATAATTCATAAAATAACATTTATTTTCTTTGTATCAAGTAAAAATATAGGTCCCAGAAGATTTCTTGCCAATTATTAATGAGTTCTAATTTATTCAGAATTTTAATATCACTTAACATTTAATCAGTTGAACACTTACATGATTGACAATACTTTTTCTTAGTTAACTACCAGTAAGTGTCTAACAGTATTTTTTCAGGCACAATTTTATTGGTCAAATTTAATGTGTCTTCTTGTTATTCAAATTATCTCAATAGCTTCAAAATTACCTCAGAAAACAGACTTGGCACACTGTAGAAAAGGATAAAATACTGACATCAGAGAACTGTATGGACATTAAAACAGAAATATTTATTTGAAAACAATGTTGTAAAATTCCAGGACACAAATTGATTTAGTACCTAAAAGATTTCAGGCACAAAACTTATTTCACTTTGTTTATAGTCTCAACTATAAAATTGAGCAAAGGAAATATAAACACCATGATAAACCTCTTGGTTCCATTAAGGGCAAGCTTTGTGTGTTTATCTGTTTGTTGAGATATATTGTTATGTTTAATTGTTTATATTAAGACTCAGTTGTAACTTTTAAACCTATCTTTATTTAATTTTATTTTTAAATTTAAAATATTAGTGTTTCAAAAGCAAAACTACATGTAAAGAAACACTCAATGTTTCCTTCTTTTCACAATCCATTCCCAATCCATTTCACTCATGCCTAATGGTGACTCCATTAATTTCTGGTTTATTTATCTTATAAAAATATGTGTTTCTCTATCTACATCTAATTTGTCAGTCTATCTTTATATTTCTATATCTTCTTGTCTTTTTCCTTTTTTGATTGTAAAAGGCACTGTATGTTCTTTGGTGTCTTGATGTCTTCAGTAATTTTTTTCTGGAAAATGCTTATGTCTCTCCTCAGAGAGATTGTCATCATTTTAACTTTATTATTATTTGCTAACATCTCTGCATGGGTATTCAGTACTTAACTCATCTAATATTCTATGCATGGACAACAAAATTTCCACTACATTTATGATACAAGTAATATCATCATAAATAAAACATATTCCCCTACCCTCTTTCACAGCAGGTTTATTTTAAAGGTAAATTCCCAAAAGAGAACTCAAAAAGTAAGTGTATAGGGACTTGCAGTTCTGAATAAAATTACACAGACTTACATTTCTCTGCTTCTCTCCTCTAAACACAAGTAAATACCACAGGAATTAAGATACAAGGCCTCTGAGAAAGAAGACAGAACACGAAGAGGTTAGTGGCTTCGGGACTTTAGGAAGAACATCAGGATGAATGGTTCATCTATCTAGATGGTTCTCCTCTATTTCCATCTGACCCGAGGCTGGACACACCGAAGTCTGCAACCTGGAACTGCCAACAGGGATACACAAGAACAGGAAACCACCCTTTCCAACCAAATTCCAGGAAAGGATAAGCCCAGCAGCGGCTGTAGGGAAACCACAGGTAGCCTACTGGGGTGTCTGCACCTGCAGCACAAGGAGGAGAGGAGTGAATAGGAGGAAGAGGAGGGAAGCTTAGGCCCTTGCTGCCCCTTCTCCATACAGAATAGCCAGAGAGCTGTCGTGCGTGCCTAGTGCGTGTCTCTTCCGCTTGTCCCTCTACAACTTTTGTTCCTACCCGGAACTTTGCGCAATGATGGGAGGTGGCTGGGGAAGGGACTTCAGCATTGTCAGAGGCCCAGCAGAATGACTGGTAGCCCAGCAGCACCAGAAGAACCAAGCAGACCAGAACTCATTGTAAGGGATTAGGAAAGATAGTTGCCCTTAGCACTGAAGCCCACAGAAATAAACTGCAACCATATGCTAAGCGCTTTAGCAGGGCTACTGCCTGCCAAAAAATGAAAGATTTATATAAGACCAAGAGTTTACTGGAGTAATAGTCAAAATTTTCAGGATAGAATAAAAATCATCAGACATACTAAGAACTAGAAAAAGCCCACAATTTTCATGAAAAATGATAGCCAAGATACAGACGAAACAGATATTGGAATGTCTCCCTAGGAGTTTAACACAACCATGATAAAATGCTTCAAGAACTAATAGACTCTCACAAAGTGCTCTACCCAACAAGAGGATATGAGTCTTGTCCAGTTCTGGTGGGGCATTCAGAGAAATGGACTATCCTATGGATAATAAGCCAGCTTATAAACTTAGTGGAATTAAAGCCATAAAGAGTGTGTTCTCTGACTGCAGTGAAATCGAGCCAGCAATCGAGGCTAAAACACCAGGAATAGAATATTCCCCAGAACACAAGGTGAACAAGCAGCTATTGGTTGCATTCCTGTATGCTGACAAATG